GTCTCACTGAACAACATGTTCTTCAGTGCTAGGTTGTCTTCACCATATTGTTTTATTTTAGACCATTTCTGCAGTTTGCTAAGATTAACTTAATTTTTGGCCTGATCTCTACTAGTAAAGATATTCTTCTTGCAGCTATCCTTTTTTTTCGGCTTGTTTGCCGATGTAGGAAAAGTAGTATGTTAGTTGTAGGATGGGGTTAATCCTTTTTAATGCGGTTTCTTAAATTTTTCAACTGCTTCAGGAATCTTTTGAGCTGCTTGGATTTTTGACAGAGGATTAATGTCAGTAAGAAATGTGAAATCAGGACATCACAAACCTCCTCATTCCTAGTCTATCACACCATGCTGCTCCCCAGAGAAGGAAGACAAGGGAGAAAAGTATACATCTAGGTCTCAATAGGGAAAAAGGAAAAGGTTAGTTTAGATTTTCTCTCTGTACTTCTATAATGCCTTTGTCAGAGCTAATGTTTCAGTGCTCGAGTGCTTCCGTTTGTATTTCATCCATTTTATTAAAATTGGTAGATTTTGTGCCTTCTGTCTAACCGTGGATGCTTTTGAGCATCAACAAACAGAAGATAGAAGTCATGCCAGAACAAATAAGGAATTTATTTGTGTGGTTTTAAAAGGAAAAAAAAAGTTGTTCCTGGAGCTTTACAAATGCAGTGTACAGGTTTCTCTACAACATTAGGTTTTAGTACTGTTTGGTTTTTTCCTTCAGTTTCCAGCTTTCCATTGGTGTCAATTCTCCCTAATTAAAGATGAAACAAAAGGGCAGGTTGGCTTATAGTAGGAGGGGGAAAAAAGAAAGGCATATATGAGAAATAAGCCTACAGTGGGGCTTAGTGGTTGCCAGTCTGCATTCCCTTAGTGTCATGATTTCTAGAAATGTGGTGCCATCTCTACTCTTCCAGGAGCTTGACCTTGTCTTCCTCCCTCCTCATTAAAGTCAAAGACACATCATTCAGTTTATTTATTTTGCTTTCTTTCAGCTGTAGTTTATTATCATCTACACAGTTATATATTAATTGCCTTGACAGCAGTAGATAGGAGTAGGGAGTGGATTCTAGTCAAGATTCAATATCTGAAATTGTTAATAGCGACCTTGACTAGCACCAGTGCTAGTCTAGGATTTAGGAGATGATTTGGGAAGTTAGTGCTGCTTATGCTGAAAACCTCAGTGCATATCAAAGAAGAGTGACTGGAATGGATCCTGAGTATCAGGGACAGAATGGAATAGTTGGAAAACTTGGCTGGGGAGCTCCTGGCAGGCTGGTTCAGCCTTCCATGTACAAATGTTTTGGGATCACAACTACTCTTACTTACCGAGGATAAATAACTGGAAATGTAATATTTTGTCACATAACCCAGAATCCCCTAGGCACAAATATATATCACACTTTCTTGTGTGTATAGATTCCTGTTTAAGAACGGTTTTCTGGCAGTACACTTCTACCAGTGCTTGGTGACAAATTATGTTAGAGCTTTTATTAATTTCTTTGTATGAGGAATTCAGACTTGAGAGCTGGGAGAGATTTGGTCCAAACATTGCAATTATCATATCCTGCATTTAGTCCATGTAGATGTCATTTGTGTTTTATTGGGGTATGCCATTCAAACTAGAGATTTTAGGTGCTTGGCATTTCTCTCTCAAATTACACAGGTCATAAGTGTGTGCCACCAGCACACAAATTCCTCATCTTGTCAGAGCTGTCACGTGCAACGAGGTTGCATTCTGTCTGGAATTGGGCGGAGTAGAGAGGAAGTGCATAAAATTTAAATGTTAAAAATCTGAACTCTCCCTTTCTGAAGGAGCACAGGCCTGTTTTGGTTCTGGAGCTGTGGCTGCTGGTGAAGCTAACCCGCTCATAGGTAGCCATGAAGATGGCTTGGGCAAGATGCAGCATTGTGAACGAAGCTGCTCAGTAGATCCAGGGTTTAACATCATTCAGAAACCTTTGCTTTTCTGTTTGACAAACTCCCATGCATTCCTTGGAATGTATTTTAGGTGCTCTGCAGAGAACATTCTCATGGCCTGTTTGAGGCATGTCTTGATATTTCCTGAAGGGTCCTAGAGTGCACCAAATGCGGTTCAGAGCAAGCCATGCTCCTGGAGAGGTCTGTCAGACAGCATTTCCCTGTCACTGCTGGACATCAGTTCTGGCCCGCTCGGATTTATTGAGGTGGCAAAGCACATGAGCTTACAGCATGCAAGATTTCTTAATATTTCCAAAATTTAATTGCATTCAAGATATATGATTTACCCTCTAATTTGCTCCTTTTTTTTCCTATGTGAATGTAATATTTCTTCAAAACTGTTCCTCCCCCTCTTAAATGAAGCAAAAGTAAGATTTAAATGACTGTTTGCCTGGCTTTGTGTACAGTAGTGTTAAATCTTGCCAAATAATAGTAGCTGGTCAAAGGCTATTGTGTTCTTCGCTAGAAAAACCCCCGTGAATTTACTTGTAGCAAATACAATAAAAAGGGCATTACTTTGGTGCCCTGGTCATCACCTGCTGAAGAGACACCATGGAGCATCAGATCAATCATGCTAGTGCTTCAGCTGTCTTTGAGAACTCCTCCAGGGTCTATGGAGTCCCAGGAGCATTCTGACTTTCCTCCTGGTTTTACCAGGCACCTTGTAAGGGAGAATCTGCATTAGGGAGAGGCACTCCTTACTCCATGTCAGACTACTGTAAGCTGTCTCTTCCAGTTGTGTGACTTGCACCAACTCCTGGGTTAGGCCTGGCCTTAGAGCCCATACCTTCTTTCTTGTGCAGTGCTTTTGAACAGATGAACTAAACTGGCTAAGGTTTTTATTTACACTACACTACTTTGTAGCATTATTGTAGGGAGTCCTCTTGATTCTTGAGAATAAAACCTGTTCATATATGCATTTTCTGAAGCATCCAAGTTTTTCCTGGTGACTGCATGTCACAGCAGCAACCAGTGTTACCTCTGTGACCTAACAAACCATCCCCGAGGTGCTAATGATTCCCTAGTCAATGCTGCCATCCCCAATTGCAGCTGCTGTGTGGGGAGAAGGGGAACCACCTTCATAGCTTCTGATACGAGTTCAGGTAGTGGCTGAAAAGGAGGAGCCGTGAACATTGTATGAGAAGCTTGCAAAGATTCTTCCTGTTGATCTTGGAAGGAGGTGGAGATAACTCCAGATTCAGCAGTGTAACATCATAATTATATTTCAGTGCACCAAGATGTTTGAAAAAAAAAATTGAACTAATTTGTCATGTTATTAAAGTTTTTAGGATGTTCTCAGGTGTTAATTGTGAATGCATTACAACTAATATTGTGTTGCTCTTTTCCATCTGTTTATTTTTAAATAGGCCTGTGGGTTTTTCTTACTTAAGATCTTCAGAAGCTCTAATATATATCTAACACAACTTCCCCACCTTTTCTTGGATAAAGTTACATAGATCCTTTGTCATCCTCAGCTCTGGAAAAACATTCCTTTCCTTCTAGATCAGCCATGTCATCTGCGAATCTTGCTTTTATGGTTATAGATGATCTTATTAAAGATTGCATGAGTGGATGTGAAGCAGTATGCATGGATGAATTTGAGTCTTCTTGTTTTGTTAAATAGTCTTGGTGTCTCTTTCCTCTTTCCAGGGGTTTCTGTTACCTGTGATTTACTGGGCATCTGTGATAGGACTTTGCTTTGGACAGTTTATAATTCAGATTTCTTTCCATCCTTTCCTCACTGCGCTGCTATCTGAAATCGTTGCTCTGTACCTGGCTGTGGTGTAATGTAGAGGAGTTTATCTTAAATCAGGTAGTTCAAGTCCAAATGTTATCTGATTGCAGTAGCAGGAGTTGCGTGCTGAGTACAGAAACAGCCTGAAGGGAGAGCTAAACCTGTGGGTTACATCTGTCCCACTGCCATGTCTAGGTTAGCCAGGCTGGATCTATTTCAGAGACGTGTGCATTGCGCTGTAGTGGAGGAGTGCTCTCTGACTGAACATGTACATCTCTTTCTTCGTTTCTATAGCATGGTGTGATTGATTCTGGTCCAGAGCATCTCTGCTACTGTTTTGAGATGACTGAATGAACAAATTTCTAATAGTATTAGCATACTTTGTAGCAGTGATCTTGATATAGTCAAAAATGGTCCCATATGAAAGTTAATGTTTCTGTATTTGCTAATTGTTTCCTCCTCTGTGGCCACTGCACTAGTTGTTTCTAGAAGAGACACATTTCTAGTAGCTGCTGTGTTCATCCACTGAAGATATAATTAGGATAATGTATTCCCGTAATGATGTGATTAAGAAGGACTAGGTCTCTATTTTGAAAGGGATTCTGGATATATCACAACTGTTTGGTTTGGCAAAGACCTCTCTTGAATCATTTCTATGTTAATGAATGCAGAAAAAACCACCTAAGTCCACACTGAATTTCCATTCTCTGTAAACTAAGAGCTGCTTCATGGTCTCCTAAACTGTTTTCTTTCTTGCCTGTGTGGTGATAGCTGCTGTGTATGTGCATGTGAGTGAGGCCAACGCAGCCATGAGAGCAGGTAACCCCAGCCTTGCTCTCCACGTATGTTTGCCCATTGCATTCACATCTGCACAGAGCAGCAGCACAGGTTCGTGTAACAAACCATAAAAAGGCAGCTCTGCACCCTGTCCTCACACACTTGCTGAGACAGCACAGACATTGCCTTGTGCTTACAAAGTTTGGAGCAAAACTGCCTAAACTCTGGTTGCAATTTGCAACTTAAATTAATAGCCAAACGATAGTGGGGAAGTTCTAGATTGTTGAGTGGAAGTAATTGTCAGGTTCACGACTTGAGTGATCCGAGTGTCCTCATGGTGTGAATTCTGAGACTTGTTTCACTGCAGTCACCTTTGCGTAAAAGTAAAATCTTCTATATTATTGACTGAGAATGTAGAATCAGCAATTATGTGTACAGTCTCTCAACCTTCCTGCAGGAATTTATCCTTCCTGATTCAGGAGTTAATATTTTTCTCATTTTGGTTTTCTCAGGTTCTCGAAGCCGGCACCAATGTTCTTGGATGATTCCTTCAGGAAATGGGCACGTATCAGGGACTTTGTACCCCCCTTTGGAATTAAAGGACAAGGTATGAGAAAACAGTGCAGCTGTTGAAGCAGGTGTTTCTGCAGGTGCTTGCCCCATTTTGTTTTTCTGTTTTGAAAGTTTAGGTGGTCCCTTGGGCTCAGGTTTTTTCCCCTGTTTGAGGGAAATATTGTACATGTAGCTCTTAGAAACCCAGAAGGGTTTTCGCAGCTGGAATGCATAGCTCAGAGACTGGTCCTAGGGAGGATGGTTTAGCTATCCCACACATGCTATCAAAGGCCTCTCTGGGTGAGTGGTGGTGGAGCAGAAGGCTTGTGCTCACTGCAGTGATTTGCTGCAGTCTTTCTGAAATCCACTGTATTTATTAAGAAGTGTTTGTGGCATTGCATCAATTTTGAAGATGTTTTTTTCCACTGACAAACTCAAGATTACAGATGGCCCCCATAGGAATTGAAATACCTGGCAAAGAAAGGACTGCAGCCACAAGAGGTTTGGGTCTGTCTCTCTCCCTGGAAGCAGATGTGGTAGTTGTCAGAACAATCTCAGATCAATTTAAAGGCTCTACCCACAAATTGCTTTTGGCTTGCATTAGTTTACTTCTTTATTTTGTCCATTCCTTGTCCAGTCAGTCTTTTGCAGCTCAATAGGCAACTAATTACTGTCCTCTAAATCAGCCAACAGAGTTTGCAGCAAAAAACTAACAGTGGCAGCACAAGTAGGAGGTTGTGGTGACCACAGGAGGGCTTGTCCCCTTCTAACAGGCACACAAGGTGTAGAAGGCTAGGGCAAACTACCTGACCAACGTGGAGGTGGGATTTGCAGATTACACACGATGTCAGCTAGACCTAATAAAAATAATTCCATTACACTGAATCCAAATTCACCAAAAGAGAATGACGGAACAGCTCTGGCAGCCTTCTCCCTGGATTTGTTGCCAGCTTGTATCACCACTGCAATGTTATGTAAATCTGGTGTTTTATATTGGATTTCCTCAGTTAAAAAGAGAAATGAGAAATTGCCATTATTTGAGTAGCTGTGAGCTGAAGCCATGGGACGGAAACCGTTGAATAGGTTATTTTTTTAACGCCCTCCTGGGACTAAATTTTGTGCCAAGTTTCAGTCTGGAGCAAGTTCTGTGTGTGGGAGGGTTGAATTATAAATCTGTGTAGCCCAGGATTTCTAATGGCAGTGCTGACAGGCTGTGAGTCGTAGCGATGCGAATGGCGCCCTTTCATGTTACACATCACTTGGAATTCTTGCATCAGTCTTTTCTGCTGTCCCATGGGATATATTCGGGCTCAACAGAGTGATTGGATGATGGGATCAGCACCTCATTAGGGCTTTCAGTCAGGGCAATCTAATGGTATCCAAACAACTGACCCAGGCAGGCAGCATGGAGCTCAGTCACGTGCTGGTGCGAGATGAAGACTCAGAGCTCGGATGTGCATGGGAAACTGAGTAGTCAGGGTGACTGAGAAAGTGTAGAGAAATGTGCCTGTGTTGAAATAGATGGGGCAGGAGTTCTGCTCTGTGCATTACGCAGCCCCATGACGCTGTCAGCTGGGATTTCCAACATGTATCACATTGGGAAAGGTGGTTGGTGTTTATAGATGCTGACTGTAGCTGAGATGGTAATGGGAAGATCTCATTGAGAACTTTGGTGAATATCACTCGGTGGTTTTAAGTCACTGTGATCTATTCCAAGTGCAAAATCGCTTTTTTTCGTTTTTTTCGGTGTGAAATACAGCTACAAGATGAGCTCACTTTCATTGATGCTGCATGTTCCAAGAAAGTTGTAGAAACTTCTGTGATAGCTTGAAAGTACTAAAGTTATGCAATCAAGGGATTCTTGGAAGCTTGGAGGCTAATTTATCATTTCTGCTTTCTCTTGTTAAAGTTTCTCTCTATTCTTCAGACTTTTACCTAATTTTTTCTTTGCTTTGTCACTGGAATAAAAAGCTGGACAAAGTCCTTTTTCTTCCATCACTTGGTGTTTACTGGTCCAAGAAAGAACAATTCTAAGATTGCAAGACTTTAGGGCAAAGCAGCTTTTGAGGAGCATTGCCTGCTGGGCTGCACTAATTTGGAATAACACGTCTGTATAAATTATATGGAAAAGAGTAGAAATGGCTCAGAAATTTTCAGGGCAGGACTACTGCTCTTTAAAGGTTATCATATCAAGGAGAAGGCAGTATGCTGATCATTTTGACATAGTTCATCAGGGATCTTTGTTTTCTTCAATAAGAATATGATTGTAAAGACAGTTCTTCCATCTCCAGATGCTAAAGAGTACTCAGTACAACCCAGAAAGTTCAACAGTGTTGCTTTGTGAAGGACTGCTCACTCCTTTACTGCAGTGGTCATTTTCTGATTTGGCCATTAGCCCAGACAAGGGGGGTTTATGGCCAGAGTGCTCCATTCTCTGCAAGAGCATTTGTGTGTAGAAGCCCTCAAGGTGAATGTGGTCCTGAATATGGAAGGTTTTAGACTTTTCCCTGAATGCTGCTGGTTCTGAAATGCAGTATTGCAGTAGGAATACTTCAGCTCATGTCAAATTGGAAACTGCTGCTATTGTCATTTAACTACCTTTGTGATTACTTGTCTGCTAAATGAAAGAGGCATGGGAATAGGCAGGTGGCAACTCTACTGCTTTGTCAGCAGGGCTTTCTGGGATGGGGAATGTGGTAGGAAGTCTTGTGCAAACTCTGTTTGAACAGTGATTCTGAGAGTCCTCTACAAGATAGTAGAAACAGATGAAGAGGAATTTACGAGCAGCATTTGTACCTTTTTCTTAACCTGTCTTAAATGGGCAGAGTTTTAGTACATGTCGTGCCTGTTGATTCTGCCTCTGTTCACCAAAGATCTGGACCAAGGATTGATCCTAATACTTGATCCCAATGCCCAGCAACCTGAGACAAAAATGGAGCTGAGAGCCATCAGGAGTGCTGGAGCTGATCCAGCAGATTGAAGGTGTGTAGCCCTTGTGGAAAGTCTGGCTTTCTTTGTATGCAAAGAATAGGAGAAGTAATAGACATGAAGAGGTGTGAGTATATTAGGTTTTGACACCATAAAGGGTCGCTGCCAGTATGTAGTTTGGCCTTTGATGTAACAGTAGCACTAGGTTTTGCCAGCTGGCTATGAACCTATGAGATTATCTTTTAGAATCTGGATCCAGATTTTCTAAATGAGGAACAACTGTGTTGACAAACAGGCCAGTGAGATGTTTGACTGCACTTTTTAAAAAACGAGATTGTTTGCCACGTCGAGCTTGTTGTCTCTTACCATGTGACTTGACAGAGTCTGGAAATAGGACGGGCCACTGTAAGCACTTGGAAATGATGACTCCATCTCTATTAATAAATAAATGGTTGTACTCTGGTCCTGAAGGCTGTTGAGCTCATTGTTCAAACACATTAACTCCCTGCTTCCTCATCCCCAAAATAGAGTGGCTCTGTCCAGGCTTCCTATCAAGAAAGGTCACTGGCCTGTATTAGCCCATGAATGCATGAGAATTGTAGAGGAGGGTATTTCTTGACCCTGGTGAACACTGTATGGGACTGTGCTAACACTTTAATAGTACAGACTCGTGTAGGACAATGTGGGCCTGTGCCCTGCTGCCAATTTGTTTATTAGTGTATGTATAGCCAAAGCAAGAAACATGATGGAATTGGTCAACTTTTAACACTTGTCAAGAAGATCAAACTGTAACAAGAAGTTGGAACTGTAAAAGCTACAAATGTCAAGATGTCCTGTGGGAGACAGCTCAGGCTGCCGAGCACCCTCCTGTGTCCCAGGCTATTGTTTTGGCATTAACTGGGATGTTGGAATGCCTCCCATGTTTCACCATTTGCGAGGGTTTAATGTATTTGTAGGAATTCTTCTTTCCCAGCACCTACCAAGCCTACTGTTGCAGCTTTTTTCAGTGAAGAGCAAGGAGACTGCAGCAATCTTAGGCTCTTAAACAAGTTACAGGGAGACTTTTTTTTAAACATTAAAAAAAAAGTTAAAATTGAACTTTGAAAAATTGAAATTTCTTCTTTTGTGTTTGCATCCTTTTCTAGTAGTACTTCTATCAGTGTAATTATAGAGGTATGAGTATGCACATGCTGTCCACATAGTTGTAGAGACCCTCTAGCATACGCACTGCTTTCAGGGTTAAATTTGCCAATGAATAAGCAATGGAAAAATTGTTTATAGTGTTAGTGAGATTATTAATCCCAGAGGGCCTCCTCCCCAAATTTACCTCTGTAGCTAAAGCAAAAGGAAAGAGTTATTTGGAGAAGGGCAACAAACAGGACTGGAGAAATACCTGACTATTAATAGAATTTCTCAGTACATGTGGTTTGAAGAATATAAAAGGCTTTCATAAGAAAGAGTAGCTGGTATCTGGCATCCTCTTTGTGTAATGAGGACGGGAGAGTTGCTGCATTTTTTTTTTTTTACTTAAGTGAAAACATATGGCACAGCATACACTAAAAACCTAAACAGATCCACGTAATAACTGTTCCATGCATTTAGTCAGTAATCGTGTCACTGCTTAGCAGTAATTACAGGTCTTCACTTCTACCTTTGTTCCTGCTCAGTTGTTTTAAGCAGAGAGGCTGCTTGGTTGGCCCTGAATCAGTTTGCCTTTGAAGGTGATAGTTATTTCTTAGGGAGTGATTCTCTTGTCACCATCTCAGAATTTCCCTCCCACCAGGAATCTAGGAAGCAATTTCTTCCCCATGGTGATAAGAGAATATTAAGAACATGTTTGAAGTGCTACAGTTTCATCAGATGTAGTATGAACTAGTGGCCAGGAGACTTGGTATTTTCATTTGATACCGGAGGGGCATCTGGAATTGGTGACATGTTCAGTGACAAAGGAATTAAGTCTTTGCCCAGACCACCAGTGCTAATGTGTGTATTGTGCAATGATGAACTGTTCTTGTACTAGGTTTTATTTGGATGTCTTCTTTTGTGTTAGTGCTTCTGGGAAGAACCATGATTCAGGGCTGCTTAGCAGTGGTTTTGATGGTCTCATGGGGGAGAGGTCATCCAGCT